CTTTTAAAAAAATAAAATTAAATTAAAAAAAATAATGATTTCTCAACAGTCATTTCATTGTCTCTATTAGCTAGTTTAAAGAGGTTGTGATACTTTTGTTTCCTTTGGCATGCTTTATACTAAGGGTTAGCACATTTTTTCTGTAACATGCCAGATAGTCATAATTTAGACTTGGAAAACTACTCTGCCATTATAGTGTGAAAACAGCCATAAATAACACTTAAATAGGTGAGCATGGCTATGCTCCAGTAACATTTTATCTATGGACCCTGAAATTTGAATTTCATTTACTTTTCATATGTCACAAGGTATTCTTTTTTAAAAAACAATTATAAAATTTAAACACCATTCTTAACTTGCTGTACAGAAATAAGCAGTGGCGGGGCGCCTGGGTGGCTCATTTGGTTAAGCGGCTGCCTTCAGCTCAGGTCATGATCCCAGGCTCCTGGGATCGAGCCCTGCATCGGGCTCCCTGCTCAGCGGGAAGCCTGCTTCTCCCTTTCCCACTCCCCCTGCTTGTGTTCCCTCTCTCGCTGTCTCTCTCTCTGTCAAATAAATAAATAAATAAAATCTTTAAAAAAAAATAATTTAGGCTTTTTGAGTCAGTTTTGTGATGTTATGTTTTCTAGGTGCAAAAGGCAATTGAAGAAGATAATTGCTGCTTTGGGACTATTGATACCTGGTTGTTACATAAGCTCACAAAAGGTAAAGATGATCTGATAGATCTATCTCAAGTAACTGAAATTTGACTGATAGAAAAGGTTCACCTAAAAAAAGTGGAAGTTACTTTTTTTTCCTTCCTTTGTCCCAAACATACTGCTCCTTGGTACCCTAGTAACTACGTGTTATAGTAAAGGCTAGATAAATTTTAGATTTGTAAGAGGAGGGTGATTTTTAAATTATGATCAGACCTCAAAGAGAAGGCAGAGGAACAGTCTTAATTTCAAAAGTGTTAAGACTCAAGTTTGGTAACAAATTTGCCACTTTGCAGCTGGGTAACTATAGGCAATCTTAATGCATCTGTGAACCCCTTTCCTTATCTTTGAACTGGGGATCAGAGTGCCTAGGTGACAGTTGGTTAAGCTCTGACTCTTGGTTTTGGCTCCGGTCATGATCTCAGGGTCATGAGACTGAGTCCCGAGGTCAGTCTCTATGCTCCATGGGGAGTCGGCTTGAGATTCTCTCCCTCTTCCTGCCCCAACTCCCGCACTCTCTCTCTTTCAAATAAATAAATCTTTAAAAGAAATAACAAAATAAATTGGGGATCATGATTTGACAATGTATATGAAAGTGCTTTTGTAAACTATAAACGTTCAAAAAGATTAAGTGGGAAATTGCTTTGGAGACTTTGCACTGGAAATACACATTTTGGAATGAATTTGAGGCCAGACAAAGGTTTAGATTATAAACTAGGGATGGTTGTTGATTGATACTGCTTGATAATATATTATTTACAATGTAAATTTAGGTTCTGTATTTGCCACGGATTTTTCAAATGCCAGCGCAACTGGACTCTTTGACCCTTTTAAGGTAAAGTATTTTTTTTCCCCCTTTTAAATCACTGATTTTTGTATAATTTAGCTTGGATTCTGATGACATATTTTTATGCTTAGATGCGTTGGAACCGGCTCCTTACTTCCATGCTTTCGATACCACTGTTTATCCTGCCTCCTGTGAGGGATACGAGGTAATGATGAACATCAGATATAGAAACCAGCAAAATTGTCCCTGAATTCATTTTGCCTTAGTGGGGAAAGCATTTTATTATTTGTTTGACATACTTGTATGTTCATTATATAACATTTTGGTCTATGTGAAAATCAATTTGCTGAATTTTAGTATTAATATTTCTAGAGCTATGACTCACTTTTTAATCAATTTTATTTGAAGCCACAATTTTGGATCAGTGGATGAAGAGTTATTTGGTGTGCCTATACCAATAGTGGCCTTGGTAAGTAGAAAACTCGAGGGTTTCTCCATGCATAGTATAAACTAAATAATATATATGAATAGTTGGGATTAGATTTAAGAGATATTAGAGGTCCTTGCAGAATAAATTAAAGTATTTTTTTTCTTTTTAAGTTAATGTGCACTGGATATAATCAATATTTTCTATATTCCAGAAAGGAGACCGCAGGGCCACTCTTCTGACATGAAAGCTCTTTCTAATCTTTTCTGACTTCTGTATATACTATTTTTTAGAAAACTGTTAAATTTTTTTTAAAAATGTTGTATTCTGAGTAAGTGTGGTTTATATTTGATACTCTGAGACAAAAAAAAAACAGGGATAGGGCCATTGCTTACTTTGTATTTGGTACAGTATAACCAGTGACAAGGCACTTTAAAGTAAATAAAATGTTGTATTTCTATTTTATAAAATCCTTAGCCAGCATATACTAGTAGAGAAACTGTAGAAGAGTGAAAAATTAGCTTTTTCAGGTTTTTGAGGTTCTTTCTTGATTGTACTCTTTCTGTCTGGATGAAAGATCTAGAACTTAGAGAATCTCAAGGATTTGCCACCTGGTTGAGGGGCTCTATGGAAACTCTGACCTTGACTTTGATTTCCTGTAATAACTTACGCAGGATGTATAGACCATCTTTCCCTAGATGGATGATTGCCACAGTAGTGGAGAAATCAGGTGAGAAGGGGAATTTAATTCCCACGTTACAAATTCCTCATCATTTAGAGAGGATCAGTCTTATTCAACTTAACGGTGGGCTCAGGTTTAGATAAAGGTATGGCTGGAACAATTGAAGTTTAGTGACAAAGTGTTCTTTAGATGAGTTTTGGTCCTTAAAATATTTCTTTACATTGTTAAAAAGAGGGATGCCTGGCTGGCTGTCTCGGTGGAGCATGTAACTCTTGATCTTGGGATTGTAAATTCGAGCCCCACGTTGGGTGTAGAGATTACTTAAAAATAAAATCTTAAAAAAAAAAAGGAAACAACAGGCCTAAAATGACAGCCTAAGTCAGTAAACCAAGACTTAATACCTACCCTAACTACAATTTCAACCCCCCAGAAATGTAACCCTTAACCAGTCAACATGGGAATTTTCCATCGGCACTAGGATATTTTCTGATAGGCCCCTTCCATTCCCCTTAGGAGGGCAACTTTATCTAAAACAATGGATTTTTTTTTTGCTAATAATTTCCTTTTTTCCATTCCCAATCTACCTTTAAAAATCTTTCCTTTTCTGGGGCACCTGGGTGATTTGGTCGGTTAAGTGACCGACTCTTGATCTCAGCTCAGGTCTTGATCTCAGGGTCATGAGTTCAAGCGCCACACTGGGCTCCATGCTAGGTGTGGAGCCTACTTAAAAAAAAAATCTTTCCTTTTCTGTAGCTCTTTGGAAGTCCCCATACTTGCTAGATGGGATGCTGCCTGATTCATGAATTGATTAATAAAGACAATTAGATCTTTAAAATTTTACTCGTTTGGGGGCGCCTGGGCAGCTCAGTTGGTTAAGCGTCTGCCTTCAGCTCAGGTTATGATCTCAGGGTCCTGTGATTGAGCCCCGCATCGGGGTCCCTGCTCAGCAGGGAGTCTGCATCTCCCTCTGCCCCTCCCCCCCACTTGTGCACTCTCTCTCTCTCTCATTCTCTCTAAAATAAATAAATAAAATCTTGAAAAAAAAAGAGAAGAAAATTTACTTGGTTGAATTTTTATTATTTAACAGATTTGGTGGCAGGCAGCGACAAGATCCAAAGTGAACTTCTAGCAGCATTTGGGGACAATGAGAAATACAGGCATGGTACCTCATGAACCCTTTGAATGCATGTGTTTCTCGCTGTTCCTGAGCGAGTGGGTAAATTCCCTCTTGGTTCTGAGCTCTCCTCTTTGTTCATTTAAGCTCCCCCAATCTAATTGGCTTTCCTTTACAGCCTGAGCTGCCAGATGGTTATGCCTAGAGCTGGCTATTTTGCCTAGAGGCCCACTGAGTTGGGAAAATGTCTGCCCAAAGCCAAATCCCTAGCCTTTCAGACCACAGTTCCCCTGGAATTGCTGGAAAACCCCAGCAAGGTTCCACAAGAATTGTTTGTGGTGAGCACAGGGCCTTCTCTTGGCGGAGACACAGTAACATCTCTTGGTTGTTGCTTATACATTAAGGTGCACATATTTGTCTTGTTTTGTCTAGATAAAGGCCATTGGTAAGAGGGATCTCAGAGACCAAAAACCTGGAAAAATTGGTAGGCACAGGGTGAGCATTTGAAGGCTATTAGAGCTCTTGCCACCTCAAGAAAATAGAGTAAGTTGATCACAGAATGGGTTAGATTGATACAAGTTCACCCACCAACCTTAAGAAAACCTCTGTACTGTAAAATATGTAAGATCCCCAACCCAGTGGCCCATCCCTGGCATTAGCTTGGCTCTGAGAACTCCAAAGTCTTAGCTAATGAAATCCTTAAATTCTAGAGTCAAGCATGCCACCTTCCAGCACACCTGCTTATTTTGTGTCTAAGAACTATAGTCCTAGAAGTTGTAGATATCTCGCAAAAGTGGCAAAATCTTAGTAAGCTTGTTTTGCATCCTGAGGAAGTTGGCTCAGTAACTGTCAGGTTGAGGGTCCCCAAATAAGGCCAGACAGAAATATGAGTTGCACCCCATTTGCACCTAAATACGGCTGGACGGAAATATGGGTTAACTCCGTTTGTGCCTAGAGTCCTATCAAACTGCTTCAGCCTTCAAGGGAATTACAACCTAGAAATACATGGTCATTATGGGGACCGTTCCAATTAGATAAAATCATTTAAGAAGTACACTTGAAAGCAAGGATTCCCAAATTAAACAGAATGAGATACTTGTTTTAATTGGCAAGCAGAAGCCTCCAAAAGGTTTTAAAATTCCCACATTTGTTAAATTAAAAGACTCATTGTGAAAGGCTAGTGAAAAATTAAAGAGAGAAGAGATACCCAAACAAAAGACTCGAAGACGGACATTAACTCCCGCTGCTCCCCGCTTCCCTCTCTCCCCTTTGGAGTACTCATTCTGCTAATCCTCTGTCTCACTTGGTTTTCCACTCTGAGAAGACTCCACACCGTGAACAAAACTTCACCACATTAACGGCCTTACATACACCCCTGTATTTACCTTCATAGGAGGACCCCTACATGGGCCCCTCTCAGAGTTGTTGAAACAGAGGGATTTTTCTGGTAAAACTGCTGTGTTCTTTCCTTAAACAGCCAAGGGGAAAATCTGGTGGGTACCAGAGACTGCAGAGGGGATCCAGGAAAAACTGGCAGAAGCCAGCAAAGGGTGAAAATTCTTACCAGAATCGGTTCCTTTCAAATCTCTTGTCTCGGGGCACCTGGGTGGCTCAGTCGTTAAGCGTCTGCCTTCGGCTCAGGTCATGACCCCAGGGTCCTGGGATCGAGCCCCGCATCAAGCTCCCTGCTCCGTGGGAAGCCTGCTTCTCCCTCTCCCACTCCCCCTGCTTATGTTCCCTCTCTCGCTGTGTCTCTCTCTGTCAAATAAATAAATAAAGTCTTTAAAAAAAAAAAAATCTCTTGTCTGTAGTGCCCAGTCTAGAGAGGAAAATACAATTTCACATTGTCCCTTCCTTTCCAAATCCAGACCCACATTGGCTTATTGATCCTTTCTCTCCCAGAGATATCTATTGCCTTCTCATTTGTCTAGTTTTGCATAACTGGGCTTGGCTTTCTGCCCACATGGGACGTGCAGGTTTTGGTTCTTTGGCTGTCATGTGGAGTGACTCTAGATCTTGGGAAGGTAGTATCCTTTGCACCCTTTTTGAGGACCCCTCTTACACCCATGGGGTATTATTCAGTACCACCAGAAATACTTAAAATTAGAACCATGTCCCCAGGGGAAAAAGAAGCAAACTGAGAATAATAGAGTTGAATAGGTAGATCAACCTATAATGTCATTTAAGTTACAACCCAGTTCTTGGAGGAATTGAAAGCAATTGTCCTTATCTTGCAATCTTTATAAAACTAGAACTACAGCTCTAGAGGCCGTTCAAAGTTTACCTATTTCTTCACCAATCCCAAAACTTCCCCTGTTTATCTCAAATGGATTGTAAATTTTTGGCTCTAGGGAACCGAAGTCCTCCTTGGAGGAACTTGCGTTCTTTTCCTGTCCCTTAAAGTTATACATCTTACCATGTCTTAGAAATGTAAACACAGCCCACAATCACCAGAGACTGAGAGAAAAAAAGGGAAAGAAGCCTTTTTTTTTTTTAAAGATTTTATTTATTTATTTGAGAGAGAGAGTGAGTGAGAGAGTGCACAAGAGGGGATAGCGTCAGAGGGAGAAGCAGACTCCCCACTGAGCAGGGAGCCCGATGCAGGTCTCGATCTCGGGACTCCAGGATCATGACCTGAGCCCAAGGCAGTTGCTTAACCAACTGAGTCACCCAGGTGCCCCTGGAAAGAAGCCCTTTTAAAATACAAACCTCTAAAAGAGCTCTTTTCTCAAACTATAGCACTACCTCCTTAAGATTAATCCTAGGGACAAATACCAATCTTAAAAATCTTCTCCACAAATATTAGTAACTATAGGGTCTTCGTGTGCATCTCTCTCTCTCTCTGTATATAGTAAATGTGAGATATTTTTCGACCTCTGGATGGCATTGCTAAAATTAATTTGTAAAAGAGTTTTATTTACTTGGTTTGAAGGCAAACATTGGTAAGGATTAGACATTCTAAAACTCTCAGAAAGAAACCAACCCAAATGTTTTGTCAAGTTCACACAATCTGGATAAATATTTGATATGAAAGCTACTTTAAGGTTGTTGGTTTAATTAAAGTAGACGTACCTTAGGGTGGCACAGTCGGTTAAGCGACCAACTCTTGGTTTTGGCTCAGGTCATGATCTCAGAGTTGTGTGATCTCAGAGTTGTGGGATCAAGCCCCACATTGGGCTCTGTGCTCACGTGGAATCTGTTTGAAATTCTCGCTCCCTCTCCCCCTGTTCCTCCCACTTGTGCACACGCCCTCTCTCTGTGTCTCTAGAATAAATAAATCTTTAAAGAATATTAAAGTAGACATGTCTTTAGAGTTATCAGCATTAAAATTAAAACTTTTATTCTGCCTTAGTTCACTTAAAGTCAAATAAGGTAATATTATCTCTGTTACAAATTTTAAAAAAATAGCTTGGCAGGGGGCACCTGGGTGGCTCAGTCGGTTGGGCATCCGACTCTTGATCTTGGCTCAGGTCATGATCTTGGTGTCGTGAGACCAAGCCCCACATCAGGCTCTCCACTCAGCGTAGAGTCTGCTCAAGATTCTCTCTCTCGGGTGCCTGGGTAGCTCAGTTGGTTAAGCGACTGCCTTCGGCTCAGGTCATGATCCTGGAGTCCTGGGATCGAGTCCTGCATCGGGCTCACTCCTCAGCAGGGAGTCTGCTTCTCCCTCTGACCCTCCCCCCTCTCATGCTCTCTCTCTCTATCTCATTCTCTCTCTCAAATAAATAAATAAAATCTTAAAAAAAAAAAGATTCTCTCTCGCTCTCCTTCTGTCCCTCCCCTACTCTCTTGCTCTCAAATAAATAAATTAAAAAAAAATAGCTTGGAAGAATGACTGACTTTGATGTCTCATGAAGGTTTTATGGGTAATATAAGCATAATTATTAAGAACAAGTAAATAGATATAAATAAAATAAAAAATTTAGGTAATCTTTTAAATAGTCTCCCAAATCTTTTTTGGTAACCTAAAACTTTAAAGTTTTTCTAAGTTAGGTTAAGTAATGAATTAAGTTGAATTCATTAAATATCTATATCATTTGTAAGTAAGATGAAATACTAAAACATCAATTGTTAAACATAGGTTTATCTTGTGGTGCATGGCTGACTTAGTGTAACATGTGACTTTTGATCTCAGGGTTGTAAGTTTGAGCCCTACATTGGGTGTAGAGTTTACTTACAAATAAAAAATCTTAAAAAAAAAAAAAGAAATATCTACTTGCAGCTTCTTATTACAGAAAAACTAAAATATATTTTGGATATGTTAGTGCTACTTGGAAAATTAAAGACATATGCTTCTAAAAATTATAAAATGTATTTATAAATTTGCCAATCTAAAGAATGCTGGTATAACAGTTCCCATTTGCTTAACGCTACTAGAAATAATGAAGGAAATATCTCCATATGCAAGGGGAGTAAAATATGTTTTTGATTTTAAAAAAAAGTACGAGGAATGGAGATACATTCTTTTGAGGAAAAAACAGTTGTAGAAAGTTTGTGAAAAAGGAATCTCTGGCAAGGAATTGTGTATGTGGTTAGGACTGACTGAAGATTGGAACGAATAAGTTTTCACATCAAAACTAAGCTGGTGCAAAATTAGAACTTGGTTTTCTGTGTTTTAAGAGGACGAAGATTCTGTGTTTGGGCTTTTCTCGTTGGCTTGAGTCTTTTTGACCTGGAACATGCCAAAGAATTTGCTAAACTATTTAAGCTTATGTGATACGTTAAATTACATCAGAAGCATTGTCAAATAAAAAGTAATACTAAGCCTTTTTTATATTGTAAGATTTGGGCACATGTGCATAAAGTCCATTCTGCTTCTGGAAAAAAAAAAAGGCCCCTCATTGCCAGACTTTTGCCATCCTGATGTCCTATAACATGGCAACAGTCTGCTGCTGAATCAGAGAAATTAAGGTGGGTAAATACTGGCTGTCAATTAAATGAATAGTTGGGGCTATGGGAAAACTAAGATAGCTGCTTAGTTCTTCCCAGCTGAAAACCCTATTTTTCAGTTTTTACATTCTTTCACCATAGGGCATTCAAGATGACCTAAAATTATGAATAGACATTGGTGGGGAGACTTCTATAATATTGTAAAAATAATCTACCAGCAATTTCTGACTTGTCAGGTCATCCTGGAAAAACTAATTTTGTTCCCAGAGCCTCAGACCTACCCCTCTTGACCCTTTGAACACCTGCAGCGGGAGTTCATTCAACTGCTACTTACTATGGATTACCAATATGTTCTTGTTTTTGCTTGTATGTTTTGTGGATGGGTTGAAGCCTTTCCCTGCTGCAAGGCTGTGATGCCCTCCCAGTAGCAAGGAAACTATTAGAAAACATGTTTCCCATTTGGGGCATACCTCCCACAATCTCCAGTGATCAAGTCACCCACTTCACTGGGCAAATCATATGAGCCTTAGTGAAAACCTTGCAAAACTTCTTGGAATTCTATCAGGAGCTTGTATACTGAGCCTAGAGAACTAGGGATTCTGGAAACATGATCAGAGGAAGATGGCCCTTGAGCCCCATTGGAAGAGGAATCTTACCAAGTGCTCCTGATCACGGACACTACTGCAAAACTAGAAGGGATGGAGCCTTGGGTACACATTTCACAGCTTGTGAAGGCTCCATCTCCAACCAGGTCCTCTACAGACGCTGGAGACCTCCAAATCAAATTGATGAGGAAGAGAAGTAGCTGAGTCGGGGTGGAATGCTTCTGCCTCAGATGATGGATCAAGACTTTAAACTTTAACTAAACGCAAAACCCTTTCTCCTTCTCTTTTTTATTCTGGCATTAGCCTGGAAAGTTAATGCCGTCATCTGTTTCTCCCCGGGCCACTGCTTAAGGGGGGTAGTCTTTGGAATTTAGAACAACCTTTTATTTCAGGCTAAGAGAAAATCTAACTTTTCACAAGCAAAATAAGACATCTCTTTGGGTGACTCCCCTGAAGTTACATTATTGAGTTAGAAAGGACCGGCCGGGAGGTTTTCATGATTCAGGAATTCACTCCTCTTGGAAGGTCCCTACTTCCCTGGTTAGGGATAAATGTAAATGAGCCTATGATCGGGAACTTCTCAATTCTTGAAATTACTGCAGAATCTGCTGCTAAAGCAACAGAGGCCCAACAACCATCCTTAGACTCTTTAACCAAAGCTGTTCGTGATAGTAGGACAGCCCTCGATTATCTTTTAGGCGAGCAAGGGGGTACCTCTGCTGTGGTCAACACCACCTGCTGTATCTGGACTAACCCTTCTGGGAATTTTGGAAACTTAATTACATAAGATCACTGAGCAAGCTGCTTGGCTTAAAAGAGTAACTTCTTCAGTGGGGTCTTTCTTTGATTTATTTGATTTTAATTATTTTGGGTCTTGGGAACCATGGCTCTGAATACACTCCAAATACTGGGAATTATCCTGCTTATAGTTATCATAATAATATCCCTGGTACATTGTATTCTCTCAAAAGCTTTAAATGCATGTTAACTGCCAAGCACCAAAAATCATCCCTAAGACGGGAACATCAGAAAAGGAATGAAGAGGACAACCGACTTAAAAATTGTGAATCTGAAGTTGTAACCTGTGAATATCACAGAGATTAAGCAAAAAACCATCGTGACCTGTGAATACCGCACAGAGAATCAGTAACAGCTGTGAGAACTCTGGAGTGGTGGTAGAGAATGCTTTAAATTTTGATCACATTTCTCAGTTAAACTGAGAGTCTGATCAAAAGGGAGGAAATCATTAAATAGAAAACCACAGGCCTAAGATAATGGCTCCAAGCCAGTAAACCAAGACTTAAGAGCTAACCTACCTGTAGTTTCAACTCCCCAGAAATGTAACTCTTAGCCAGTCAACATGGGAATTTCTGGGTCAGCATTAGGAAATTTAATGATAGACCCCTTCTGTCCCCCTTAGGAGGGTGACCTTGCCTAAAACAATGAATTCTTTGCTAATAGTTTCCTTTTTTCTCTGCTCTTTTTCTACTTTTAAAGACTTGCTTTTTCTTTAGCTCTTTGGAGCTCACCTCTGCTAGGATGGATGCTGCCCGATTTATGCATCAATTAATAAAGCCAATTAGATCGTTAAAATTTACCGCATTGAACATTGTTACTTAACAACTTACATTTAATTATTTTAACAAAATGTCATAATTTTTCTTTTAACAAAAATGTATGGTTGGGAATGTGTAGTTTTGACCTATATTTATTTATATTAAGCACACACCTATCACTCTTATTAAAAGAGAAATATGCGATGTCAATTATTTTGACTAGTGAATGAAACCACTTTTAAGTTGAAAAATCTTGTTTTTTCCTGCACGGTTTTTATTCTGACCTTTATTTCTCAGATTTTTCTTGTGATACTTAAAAGTCGTGAAGTAGGTTGCCTACTAAAAATTCCTGAGGCACATTAGTTACCACACAATGTTAGTCCTTGAGACACTTCTAGCTTATCATTGCTCTTTGTTTTTTCCAGGGTTTTTTTTTTAAGGAAAAGGAAAAAAGAAAACAAAATGTTGACCCATGAGAATACAATATAGGAGACAGTGGGAGACAGTGAAATGGGCCGCTGCTAAGCCCAGCCATCTTATATTTGAACATTTTTGGCAGGTCGCCGATCAGCAGTCAGCCATGTTTGGAGAGTGCTGCTTCCACGTAGGAGACGTGAAACTAACCATGGGAACTGGGACATTTTTGGATATTAATACTGGAAATAGCCTTCAGCATACTATTGGAGGTAAATAGTTAGAATTTATCCTTTTTATTGATAAAATACCACTTCTTTTCATATTTAACTTTTGTGACACTGTTTTCCCATTTTATATTAAGGGTACTGTCTAACATATTTTTCACCGTTATTCTTAGAGACAGTTAATTTCCATTTCCCTTTTTTCTTTAAAAGCATGAAAAATGAGACAGATATTATTACAGAAAAACTCAGGTTTAGGGTATTTTGGTCAGTTTACCAAATATTTACCTGTAATACCTGTTATATTTGTTTAAAACATCTTTCTAAGCCTCTAAATTTTCTCTTATGTGTTAGCAGTTCTTCTGTGTGTGTGTGTGTGTGTGTGTGTTTGGGGGGGGTGGTAATTCTCAACTAGTGATCCATGCATATTTAATGACAGTTGCCAAGAAATTGGTCTCCCTGATGGAAGACATCCTAGGATGTGTAAACCAAGAAATTTAGATTGTGGAACTACACCCTAAGAGGCCTGTGGGCTCTTAATCTGGGCTATGGTTTCCTAACATGGTTACTAAGAGGCAGATTTTAAAATCTTTTTCTTACCTCCCATCCACCCTCAAGCTCTTCCTTTTCCCTACCTGGGAAAATGGAAGCTAGAAAATTTCATTATTGCATTAGGTTGTTTCTAATTAGGAACCTTCACAGATAAATAAAATAGCGTAGTTGGCTCTCTGTGTGTGTTTCTAGAGACATAGATATGCCTGTGGCTACTAAAAGCTAGTGTTTATTGTTCATATTAAATGCCAGGCACTGCACGAAGTTTTTTATGCATTAATTCAGTTTATTCTCACAGGAGCTCTCTGAGGCAGACCATTTTACAGTTGAAGAGACTGAGACTGAGAGGTTAGAAACTTGTGAGACCACTGACTTCAGAGCCACTTTGCTATTTTTTAGGATAATCAAATTGTTAACCAAATGTAGATGTCTCTGCAATGAATTATCTATTTATTACATTTGACTTACATTGTTCCTTTGTTTTTAAGGCTTTTATCCACTAATTGGGTGGAAGATTGGCCAAGAAGTTGTATGCTTAGCTGAAAGCAATGCAGGAGACACTGGTACTATCATCAAATGGGCTCAAGAATTAGGTAAGTTATCTTTCAAACAGATTTCACAGGCCAGACTTAAAGAATTCAAGAGTGCCATAGGACTACCGATGAGTAGGGAATGAATAGATCGTTTAAATGAGACATAAAAAGAACTATGCTAGAAGAAAATATAGGATACTATTTTTTTGACACTGGGATGGTAAAAAGGCTAGGAATTAAGGCCAGATACCATAAAGAAAAAAAAAAACCATAAACTTAACTATATAATTATTAGAATGTATAAGGAGAGAAGTGTCATAAGCAAAGGTAAAAGACAAATTGGTAACAACAATTTGTAACATACGTCAGAAAAATTAATAAAGATGACTAAAGAATAAACAAAGGACAGAAGTACAGCTATCATAAATCAAGTGACTATTAAAAATGCTATTCGGGGCACCTGGCTACTTAGTTGGAAGAGCATGTGACTCTTGATCTCAGGGTCGTTAGTTCAAGCCCCATGTTAGGCGTAGAGATTACTAAAAAAAATAAATCAACTTTAAAAAAATCTATTCAAATTCAACAGTCAAAGAAATATACATCTAAGGGCACCAGGTGACTCAGTCAGTTAAGCATCTGCCTTCAGCTCAGGTCATGATCCCGGGGTCCTGGGATCGAACCCTCATCGGGCTCCCCGCTCAGCGGGGAGTCTGCTTCTCCCTCTGCCTCTGTCCCAGCTCTTGTGCACTCTTGTTCTTGCTCTCTCAAATAAATAAAGTCTTTAAAAAAAAAAATACACATCTAAAAAATGATGTCACCTGTCATTGGCAGAGATTAAGTAGTTTGATGATGCTCAGCACTGATGGGAATATAAAGAAAAAGACTATTCTTGTTTTCCTTTGTGATGAATATTAACTAGTATGGCCTTTCTGGAGAACAAGCAGGCAACATGTTTCAATTTATAGAGTGCAGACCCTTTTCTTTGTTTCTTAAGAAAACAAGGATGTAGGTAGACAAAGATGTGGACATGCATAAGTGTTTAATACAACAATTGGAAATAAGTTCCCATCTAGTACTAAAGCATTAAGTAAGTAAATGCCAGTATACCCATACAATGGGACATTGTACAGTCACATATAATGGTGTAGTTGTATATCTTACTGGTATAGAGCACTGTCTATGAGACATTAAGGAGGGGATGAAGTCATTGCAGAACAGTCTATATAAATATTTCTTGCTTTTATTTTACAGCTTTATTGAGATATAATCCATATACCATATAATTCACCTACTTAAAGTATAAAACTCAGTGTTCTTTAGTATTGTCTCCAGGTTATGCCACCATCACCACAATCTAATTTTAGAACATTTTTATTCCCCCTAAAAGATACCCCGATAGGCATTGGCATTCTTGTTCTACCCACCGGCCCTAAGCTACCATGGATCTACTTTCTGTCTTTATGGATTTGCCTATTCTGGACATTTCATATGGATGGAATCAAACAATACATGGTGTCTTGTAGCTGCCTTCTTTCACTCAGCATAACGTTACAAGGCTCACCCATGTTGTGGCATATGTCAGTGCTTCATTTGTTTTTATTGCTGAATAATATTCCATTATATGGATGCACCACAATTTATTTATTCATTCATCAGATGATGGACATTTGGGTTGTTCCCACTTTTTGGCTGTTGTAAATAATGAACAGCCTGTATATTATGTAGTCATATTTCATGCAGAAGGTATGAAATGTTATATACCAAAGAATTAACAAACAGTGTGTATCTCTGATGATTAAATTATGGAGCAGGCTGTACCTTTCTACTTTGCTAATTTGAACTAAGCTGAGTTGTTTAGAGACAACACCAATTCTATTGGCAGAAAACATAACACTCTAGGAGGAAAATGCCAATCCATCTCCTTTCTTCCTTTTTCTCTCTTTCTCCACGAGCCTGCACCTGCACTCTTAGCATTAGATTAACAAAAAAAGTTTATTTCAAAGTTTTTTGTCACTTAAAAGCCTATTTATTTATTTATGTATTTAAGAGAGAGAGAGACAGCATGCACACATGTGGGAAGGGGCAAAGGGAGAGGGGGAAGAGAGAATCTCAAGCAGACTCCCCACTGAACTTGAAGCTGGACAGGGTGCTTGATCTCAGAACTCTTGAGATCATGACCTGAGCCAAAATCAAGAGTTGGACGCCCAACCAGCTGAACCACCCAGATGTCCCAAAAGTCTCTTCTTTAAATGTACCTCTTTTAATTTTTTTTGGACATCTATCTTGATTATCAGAAATAGAAAATTATATATTTCTTCTCCTTTAGTTATACCTTCTATTAATTTTACTCCTTCCCAGAAGATGCAAAGAAAAAGCAGAATAATTTCACATTCATCAGTTAAAAAGAATTATTCTTTAAAAAAAAAAAAGATTTTATTTATTTAACAGAGAGAGAGAGCAAGTGTGCACACAAGTAGGCAGTGCGGCAGGGAGAGGGAGAGGGAGAAGCAGGCTCCCCGCTGAGCAGGGAACCCGATGTGGGGCTTGATCCCAGGATCCTGGGATCATGACCTGAGCCGAAGGCAGCCACTTAAACGACTGAGCCACTCAGGCACCCCCCAAAAAATTATTCTTTAGTTCCATGTGACATCATGTGCATGTTCTCCGTAGGAATCTTTGCTTTGCTGGATTGAGGCTCATTCGCTGTGATTCTCAAATGATGAAAACTCTTTTCTGGGAGATGGGGCTAAATGGTCTTACCTAGAAAGGTGATGTGATTTCTGGTAGAGGCACAAGCTCTCCTAAAGGCCAGTCCCAAGACAATGGGACTGTTGTTCTAACTGGTGGGAGAGAGAATTCAGAGTTGAATTATTTACTTTAAAATTTTAGTCATTGATAAAGCTAAATCTTATTGTATGTATCTGTCTGAAATTCACACAAAAGTTGACATTTATTTGAATATATTTCTTTTTCTGAGAATTCACTTTAATGGGTATACTGAAAAAAATTAATTATGTTCAGGAGAACAAATAAATAAAGGTTAAAAAAAAAAAAAAAGAGTGATTGTGTAGGTGAGAGAGGCAGTTTAAGTTAGGGGGCAGTCCAAGCAGGGAGACTGGTGAGGGAGGCCCTGAGCAGGGAGAAGCACGACCTATTTAAGGGACTAAAAGAATGCCCTGTTTCATCTCTGCAGTTGAGGCAGTTGCCATCTCTGCTGTCCTCCAGTAACACAGGTATCACTTTTTTTTCCCCTAGCAGTATCACTTTTAATTGCTCCATGTCACATCTGCTTGCTCCAGGCGATCCCCATAAGACTTCCCCATACACATTTAAAATTACCCAGGACTCTTGTTTACTAGAAATAAGGAAACTGATTCCTCTCTGGGTATGTTCCCAAGAGAGATAAAATATCCCTCATTAGAAGGGATGAGATAAGGGGCGCCTGGGTGGCTCAGATGGTTAAGCGTCTGCCTTCGACTCAGGTCATGATCTCCAGGTCCTGGGATCGAGCCCTGCATCGGGCTCCCTGCTCAGCGGGAGGCCTGCTTTTCCCTCTTCTTCTGCCTCTCCCCACTGCTCCTACTCTCTCTCTCTCTCTCTCTGTATCTCTCTGTCTCAAATGAATAAATAAAAAATTCTAAAAAAAAAAAAGGGATGAGATAAACATTTTCTTATATATGAACTAATTCTAGGTGGTGGTGAACAGATACATGTTTCTGCTGGTGAGCACGATCTTAGTTCGTGGTCCTGCCTCCCTCTCTTCCTGCTGGGGGAGAGAAGTATGGGTTATTGCTGAAGCTAAAGTGGAGCCCAGCATTCAACAAAGCCCTGAATTCTCAAGTAGACAGTGCAGACCCAGGGTCTGTAGAGGACACGAGCTGAGTGTTACCGATGAAAATACTTGAGGCTACTAAAGACACTCTGGATATTTGGGGCGCCTGGGTGGCTCAGTTGGTTTAGTGTCGACTATTGATTTCGGCTTAGGTCGTGATCTCAGGGTAGTAAGATCAAGCCCCTCATTGGGCTCCTTGCTGAATGTGGAGCCTGCTTAAGATTTTATCTCTCCCTCTCCCCCTCCCCCATCACATCCCCCCCCCCCGCCCCCCCCGCCCTGCAGTCGCTTGCTCTCTCTTTAAAAAAAAAAAAGATACTCTGGATGTTTTCTATGGATCCAGCCTGCTGAGCCAGGAGAAAATCCCCATAGCATGTGGAGAAGAAAGCTGGCCTGGCCAGTGCCTGGGAAAGCTTGCCAAAAGCGGACATCAGTACTGTTTAGTCTGAACTGCTCCTCTTCCAGCCTGATGGGGGAGGCCTAATCTTTCTCATATATCCAGAAACTGCAGAGCCCAAGGTTCACTCCCCTACCTCTCATTGCCTGACACCCTCATAAGCCTGACCTGAAAGAGAGCACAATGTAAGAACATATACACCCTGAAGGGAAGTGAACAACCTCAACACATAGCTCCTACAAAGGCAGAGGTAATGGAAGAAACAGAAGGTTAAAATAACACCAACAAAAGTCAAACTTAAAGGGATGAAACAAAATATTACAAAGAAATGTTTGGAAAACATAAAGAGTTTTGAAGAACAAAGCTATGATATATAAAATGTAAAAACAAAACAAACCAACATAAAATAGTGCTAAAAATCCAAATAGAAATCAGGAAGAATTTAAAAGCAAAAAAGAGAGAAATAGAAGATAAAACTGAGAAGTAAGAGATACGGAGGAAAGATCAGAGGAAAAAATATGTGAATAGTAGTCTCTTCTGGCATATGAAAATGTAGTTATGGAAATGGAGTTGCAAAAATGTAAAAATTGAAGCAATAAATTGAAAATAAATTTCCTTGAACAGAAGAAAGGCCTTAGTTTTCAGACTGAAATAGCTAAGTTAAAAAAAAGATACAAATGAAGACAGTCGTATGTGTATGAATTATCTGATTCCCAAGAATAAAGAAAAGCTTCAAGATAGGAAGAACAGTTTATGTATAAAGAAAGAAATACTCAGACTGTCATGGAAGATAGTTGTAAAATTTGGAAAGTGGAACAACATGTACATATT